AACGATTCATTAGTTGCATATGACACCCAGCATTGTATTTAAATGAATGATTTCTTACCTTTTAGGTTGTTCCAATTCTATATTTCTGTATAACCAACAAGCCCATAACTTCCTGCTTAAAATGACAATAATCGTTTATTGTTCTCCTTAATCTGCGATTGGGGCAGGGCTCCATGCGACAACAGCTGATGTGACAGAACTGAGACTGAAGGATCTGCTTCCCCAAAACGCTCAACAACAAGTAGGTGCTGGCTGTCAGCTGGGAGCTCCGCTGGGGTTGGCCAGGGGCTTCGGTCCTTCTCCAAGTGGGCCTCTCCATGGAGCTGCTGAAGCTTCCTCACGGCATGGCAGCCCAGCTTGAAGAACAAGTGCTCTGAGAGAAAGGGAGTAGAAACTGCAAGTCTCTTAATGGCTGGGCCTCGGAGCTACTAGCCCAGCATGCCTTCCACCATGTTCTGTTGGTCAAGCCATCACAGAGCCTGCTCAGATTTAAGGGCAGGGTCTCTTCTTGGTGGGAGGAATGTCTTGAGGAACTTACGGCCATCTTTAATCTGCCATTTTATGTCAATATTTTCCAGATGCTCTTTACTTAAAGAGTAATTACAAGTGGGGGCAGGTGAAGTACCTTTAAAATGCTTTTATTTAAAATTTTGAAGGCCCCTAATATAAACTCTGTTAATTCATAAAACTACTTAAAATAGCAAATTTCTCTACTCTTAGCTCTTAAAGCCCCTTCTCCACCTATATACCCCTAGACCCACACACATACACACAAGATCTCCCACCTATAGGCGCTTCTCCCCCAGTCAGTTCTTTGATGAGGGTGTTGAGTAAATTCGAGTCATGGTCATGGGGCCTTGTGGTATACTCCATTCCAGACACTTTTCAAACGGCATTTAACAACCCTCCCCCACTTCCTGACCTCCTCACACACAAGAAGACAAATGAATGAAGCATGTCACCTCTAAAGGGCCAGTGACCCAGGTTGGATGTACACATCTAAGTAGGCATCTGGTTACCCTCCTTATTTCCTACCAAACCTGATTCATTGGTTATTAAACACTGAAGGGCTCACAGATGCCTGAAATAGTAATATCGACTCCTAAAAGCTTTTCTCAAATTGGCTCAAATCTCATAATATTCATTCTTAGATCACATAAAGAAGCACTTACCTTTGGATGCTGCCTTCAGGGAATCATAAAGCTGATCTCTTTAGCTGCTTATGGGACAGAAGGCTAATCATCTTTAAAGAACAAAAATTTAGGTCTGACTACAAAGCAACAAGATCAATGGCCTAAGACTAAACAAGAGCCAGTGATGTTAGCGGTTTGGGTCTAGTTTGTTCTGTTTGGTATTTTGTGCGTACGTGAATGTGTGTGACAGTTATGTCCTGATTTTCAAATCTGGATGGCCCAATTTACCCAGTCCTCTTGGGAGATGACCCAATAACCCAGAATTTTAATTAATGTTGTGGATCCTCCCTACGGAAAGATGCTCATTAGCATAAGCAAAGTGCACTGCATACTTTGGGGCATTCACAGACACCCTGCTTAGGTTAAGAACCCCCATGCTAGAGATATCTCAGATCTTTGGTGATTCAGGATAGGAGGGGAGTGCCAGAGGATGTCATGATGGCTTAGGGCTTTTAGGCCATGCCAGCTAAAACACAGGCAACTGTTTACAATCCTGTTTCCTCACAATATCAATAATCACAATAATCAATAAACCCCAACAGAGAAAGGCCAAGCAGCCCAGATAGAGACCGAGCTTCCGTACTAACAATCTTCCTTCCCACTGGTGAGGCAGAAATGCTTTTTCACACCTCATTCTTTTTCCATCTTTTCCTTACCCTTCCCTGTTTCTCTCTTTCCCTCTGCCAAATATTTAAATTTTAACCCTTTCTTGGGGCTAAGGGCTAGGAATACAAATGTGAATAAAATATGGCTCCTCTCACTCATTAAACAAATTCATTGAACATTCACAGAACCCAGTGTGCTTTAGTTTTTACAACCTACATCCCAGTGGGAGAAACACACTCAAGCCCACAAGCCACACACACACACTTACAATGAACATATAAGGGCCGCAGCATAGAGGTATGTAAGCAACCATGGGGGCAAAGGAGGGAGCAACAAATTGTCTGCCAGGGTGGGTCGGAAGGCTGCTCAGGAAAGGTGACATTGATCCTCATATTCTTTTTTTTTAAAGATTTTATTTATTTATTTGAGAGAGAGAGAGTGAAAGAGAGAGAACATGAGCAGGGGGAGTGGGAGGGGGAGAAGCAGACTCCCTGCTGAGCAGAGTCCAATGCCGGACTTGATCCTGGGAGTCTGGGATCACGACCTGAGCTGAAGGCAGACGCTTAACCGACAGAGCCACCCAGGCGCCCCCGATCCTCATATTCAAAAACAAACAGGCAGACAAGGGAAGAAGTCGGGACAGTATGTGCAAAGGCACTGAGGTGCAAAGCACCTGGTACTTCCCAGATTCAGAGTTGCTGGAACTGAGAAGCATGTGCAAGATCAGCAGGAGTTAAAGCCGGAAAGACGGGGAGAGGCCAAATGTGGGCATCCTAAGAGCCACACAAATGGGTTCAAACTCCTGACACAGATGCTCCAAAAGGCTCTACGCAGAGGGATGAAATGATGGGTTTTAGTTTTAGAAAGCTAAGTCTGATGGCAGAATAAAAGATGGATTTGATGAAGACCAAATGAAAAACAGGGAGATTAGATGGGAGGGAGGCTCCTGGGAGGTCCTGGTGAGGGCTAAGAGGGACTAAATTCTAGCAGGGGCAGCAGGGAAAGAGGTGAAGGTCAAATAGAAGATGGTCAGCAGATGGCATGGATGGAAACTGGCAAATGATTACATGAGGTGGTGGGGGGGTAAGGGAAGAGTCATTATTATGACTTCCAGGTCCCTTATTTGAGCAAATAGAAATGCAGTTGACCGAGATAGGGAATGTAACGTTGTATGGGGTAAGATAATGAGGCCCGAGGGGCATGGGGAGTGTGAGGGCCTGGGGAATACCAACTGGAGATTCTACCCTCGTGATGGGACTACAGGTCCAGTGAGCACCCACTATTTGTCCAGTCCTGGTTCTGAGGTCCTCATTCACCAAAATTGATATGGAAATCCTATGTGTCTTTTGCCAATCTTGTGTGGAAAAATAACTTTGTATCAAATTCTCAAGTGAGATAATCATCTCAAGCCTGAAAAGGGCCACTTGTGTTGTGGTAACAATGAGAAAATCATCTTCGTGCTAATTCTTTCTCTCCCCTTACATCATAGCAGGCTCCGCCAAGACCACTATGATCAAGTTTTTATTCCTCCCTCCAACCCTCCATGACAACTTTTGGCTATGCAAGACGAATACTTCCATATGGTGCAATATTTATGTTAAGACAGGAAAAAAACACAAAATGCTTTCAGTAAATTTTATCCAAGAAACCGTAAATTTACAAATCCTAAGCACTTGGAACAAAATATTGGTCTGTAATTGATTTTGGATGAAGTATATTTCAACAGAAATAGGAAACTTGGAGCAGTTTGTTAATTACTGGTGCTTAGAAATCTTGGGTGTCTTCGTATAGCCTTCCCTAACTATAATCTCAGATAGATTGACTTCTTGAATCTCTTCTGTCTGTAAAATGGGTTTAGCAATTTTACCTACTCATGGGTTTTTTTGTGAAGATTAAATGAGCTATTGCAGGTAAAGAACTCAGAATAGAAGTCATCAGAAAGTAGGCACATAGCAAAAGTTAGTTCTTATTACCTATAAGCTAAGTGATGAGGGAAGGGGAATAGCATGAAGATGGGGCTGGAAGAGGAAAAGGACAGAGAGTAGATGACAAGAATGAAAGATTTTAGGATTTATTTATAGAGGAATGCCCACTGCCACCCACCCCAGAACTGCAGGGGCAGGAAGGCTGTGTACCGTGATCTTCGTAAAAAAGATTTTTGGGGAGGGGGTGCATATGTGAGGCCTGCAACCTTCCAACACACATTTTGGGTCATCATTCATTCATTTTTAGAATTATTTAATTCACCAGGACAAATGAGAGCAGGAGGGAAAAAGGCAAGAGGATTAAAAATTCCTGAATTTTCTAGAGGGGACTATTTGACATGCAATATTATTACCCCAGGTCTGTGTGAAAGCAGTCCACAGAATTTTATTCTATTGACTCATTATTACTTTGGGCAAACTGCCAACTTTTGTTTTAGTTTTCTAGCCACAAAAGCACAACGGTCTTTTAGAACAATGTTTTAATGTCTTCTAATTATAGGTACAAAACATTTCCATATTTTTCCAATTTAACAGTGATAAAAATCCGGCAAAGTAGGTATCATTAGCTCTATTTTAAAATAGGAAATGGTATATATTCATTACACGCCAGGTACTATACCAAACGCTATCCAAGGAATATCTCATCTAATCCTGTAACAAACCTATGAGGGTGGTGCTATCATCATCTGAGGCTAGAAGACAGAAGTTTAATAACTCCCAAGGTGACCTAGACAGTAAAGAGCAGGGCCAAGGTTTGAACCCACATGGGTCTGACTTCAAAGCCTGCTTCCTAAATCCTAAACACTGTATTCTGCTCTTTAAGGATAATCAGATACATGTTCTTCTTTCCTAGTACGGCAATGCTTTTAAAGCCTGAGCTCAGCCTAATTATTTATAATCATGTAAACAATTATTGTGAAATTATACAGAAATATGAAACTTTTTGATGTCTACTTCCATATTATGCTCCTAGAATTGCTCAAGACACATGTCCATTTCAATGTACATTTCCCTCCCTCAACGTTATAAGAATCTGTACAAGACCAATTAATTGTTGAATAAAGTTCCTAAACTACTTGGTAATAGGCTAAGAATCTGTTTCTTATTTATTTATAATACAGATTCATAGTTGTAGTTAAGAAAATAGAAGCACAATTTTAGTGAAGGGTAGCTACCAATCTTTTGAAAGGTTCAATAATGCAAACTACAAAAGGTGTTCATAAAAATGTATTTTTTATTTCATTTAAAAAACAAAACAAAACAACTGTCCAATATCACTCCCCCTCATGCAAACAGCTCTCATGTGAGAGTCTTCAAATTTTACGCTTTTTCCATTCTGGCTCATTCTTTGCTTCCTCATCATCAGATTCAACTTGGGCAAACATGGTTTTGGGTTGAGTCCTAAAAGAAAGTTAATGAAAAGAGGAAAAATTTAGTCAGCAAGTGTTTATTAGATTAGACTTTGCTACTTTCATCAAGTGGAAGCACATCTGGGGATCAACTACATCTCAATTATTAAATATCATTAAACTTCTGGCAAAGAAAAGGATAACAGAAATTTAATTTTGTTCATCAAAAGAGCCAAAGATTCTCTTAAAGATTTCCCTCTGTGGCAGACTGTATGCTGTCCTTTTCTTAAATAAAATGAAAATACATCAAATTCAGTAAAATCTTGTATATTCATAACCATCCTCTAGTTCAAACTCAGGCTAATTAGGACTGTTTGGGAGTCCAAATTATAGTCACCACGCAAGAACACACATGATCTTTATTTACAGCTCTCTGCATTGTTCCTAGAATTAAGTAGTCCAAATACATGTGATTATGGTGCACATGAACAGGAGAATTTGAGGTAATTGCTTTCTTATTTAATGAGTCTAAAATGATAGATAACATACAGAGTAACTTGAGCCCTGCCAGCAAAAATAAAACAACAAAACAAACAGATGGGACATTCTCTCCACTCCAAAACCCAGTTCAGTGCACGGAAATGTCAAGCATTTTAGGATGCATCACTGACTACCATTGTTGTAATATTGGCACATGGTGCCTCAAAAGCGATCTTTGCGTTAGGATGTTCTGGGCTTTGTAAACATACCTGGTTCAATGACTTTTCTTTTTACACCATTCACACAGAAAATAATTTCAAGAATATGTGAAATGGTTATAATTTATGCTCCTTTTGGTTATGCTACTGCTGATTCCCTTTTAAAAACAGCTCTATCACATTACAAGGAAATATTTTTTGAAAGCTTTCTTATTTTTTTGGTTTCAGGAGAATTTAGTAATTCATCACTTACATATAACACTCAGTGCTCATCACAAGTGTGCTCCTTAATGCCCATCACCCATTTAGCCCATCCCCCCACCCCCCTCCATTAACCCTCAGTTTGTTCTCTATCGTTAGGAGTCTCTTATGGTTTGCCCTCTCCTTTTTTTTCCTTTCTCATAGGTTCATCTGTTTTGTTTCTTAAATTCCACATATGAGTGAAATCATATGGTATCTGTCTTTCTCTGACTGACTTAGGTCACTTAGCGTAATACTCTCTAGCTCCATCCACGTCATTGCAAATGGCAAGATTTCATTCTTTCTGATGGCTGAGTAATATTCCATTATATATATATATATACCACATCTTCTTTATCCATTCATCAATTGATGGACATTTGGGCTCTTTCCATAGTTTGGCTATTATTGATAATGCTGCTATGAGCATTAGGGTGCATGTGTCCCTTCGAATCTGTATTTTTGTATCCTTTGAGTAAATACCTAGTAGTGCAATTGCTGGATTGTAGGGTAGTTCTGTTTTTAACTTTTTAAGGAACCTCCTCCATTACTGTTTTCCAGAGTGGCTGCACACATTACGAAGAAATATTAAAGCCCTATATCTAAAGATATATTTTAACTCACATCTTCATCTTGAATTCAATTCATTATATCAAGGTAATTCCAGAATGTTAAAATAATGACAACAACCATTCCTTTTCTTTGACAAGTGAAAACAGGGTTAAAACCTTATGTTACTTGTTGCTGTCTCTTTATTATCCTGGGAAGAAGTATAAACCATCCACATTCACCCTGATGGTGCTCTGATGCAAGCCATGTACTGGAATTCCTCATGCATAGGTTAGTCAAAACTCCTGTCTCTCTAGTGATCCACACACCTACCTGCAGCCCATGGTGTCCCCATACACAATCCAGTCAGTTGAAATTCTTGTCACTTCAAGACACTGTTATGACATCTACGAACAGGTCATAGCTCTAACATTTCCAAAAACAGCTGCAGATTTTCATAGGTCATGAGTTGCTGAGTTACTAGAAAGCACCCCCGCTCCTCTTCCCCCAACCCCAGCTCTCTAACATGCAACAGTAGGGCAACTGGTGCTCATTACATATTTCATCTTCTGGCAAATATGTGGACTGCTGAGGTATGGACAAACCAATATGGGAACAATGTGGTTTAAAAATCCTTTGAATTAGATGTTTAATTTCTAAAGAGAAAAAAATAACATGGTCTTGTAACCATATCTGGCAATGCATCCTAAGACACCAGCTCGAATTGTGGATCACTACATCAAAAAACCAAAAAAAAAAAAAAAACAACCCTAATGATATATTGTATGGTGACTAACATAATAAAATTAAATTAAAAAAAAAAAAAGACACCAGCTCATCGATGTTAGTTGCAATGAGACTTAAGTACTAAGAAATTTTAATGGTGTTTTTTTGGAAATAAAAAAAGAAATTAAATGACAGATCACAGGAAGAACAGAATCTACAGTTTAAAAAGGTTATTTCATTTAAGTAATTGCTCTCATATTGTACCTACTTCCCAAAAGTATTTTTTGCAAGTTGGTGGCTAACTGGAAGGGCACAGAATGAATGGAACTATTTCACAGAGGGCAGAAAGGGAGTAATGATTGTGAGGAGGCATGGGGAATGTTTTGGGGGGGATGGAAATGTTCCATCATCTTGACTGAAGTGATTACCTGGGTGTATACATTTGTCAAGACTTGAAATGGGTGCATTTTGCATTTTATTATACATAAATTATACCTCAATAAAATGGACTTGTAAAGAAAATCAAAACGAATAAGGAGAAGGGTAAACATAATAATACAACACTCAATTTCCTAGTAGTCAAGACAAAGACAAAGGAAATGTATTAGTTTTCAAAGGAGATAACTCTTCCCCCCAGCCCTAAACTCAGAAAAATTCACTGAGTAAACTTTTACATCAGAATCACTTAGACTGTCAGGCTGAATTACCAGATCACAACAGTTTCTTTTGTCTCTCCAGGTATCTTAACTTAGGGGATACGAATTTGTTTGGAAGGTAGAATGGTCTCTTTGAGGAACTCCACGAAATTTAGTATTTTAAATTTCAGTTTTTGAACTAATAACAATATTACCAGTAAAATAACCATATTATGTATATGCAACATGAAATCATGACAGTTAGCTTTCAGACAGCCAGGCTCTCCTTCCCCCAAGGAGAAGCTAGTGTCCAAATTTTCCCAGCAGTGCTGTTTACCACTTTGTCTTTCATTTTATTGGCCAGGTAGGGAATACCTGAGTGTAAGAAGTAGGCTCCTTTCAAAAAATGGTGCTGGCAAAATTGTACCAAAAGCAGTAAATAAAACTGGACCCTTACCTTATACCATATGCAAAAATTAACTCAAAATGGATGAAAGACCTAAACCTAGAGCAAAAACTGTAAAAATACCATGGAAAAGCTTTACGACATTGGATATGGCAATGATTTCTTTGGTAAGACACCAAAAGCATAAGCACATAAAAACCCCAGATAAATTGAACTACATCAAATTTAAAACCTGTGTATCAGTGGATACAATCAACAGACTGAAAAGGCAACCTATGAAAAGGGAGAAAATATTTGCTAATCATATATTTTGTAAGGGATTAATACCTAGAATATATAAAGAACTCCTACAACTCAACAATAACAACAAAAACAACAACAACAAAAAAACCCCAAACAACCATTTAAAAACAGGGCAAAGGACTTCAATAGATATTTCTCCAAAGAAGACAGCAAAAGACTAACAAGCACATAAAAAGATGCTCAATATTGCTAAGCATTAAGGAAATGCAGATCAAAACCACAATGAGATAACATGTCACACCCACCAGGATGGCTACTATCAAACAACAAACAAACAAACAAAACCCAAACAAAATACCAAGTATTGGCCAGGATGTGGGGAAACTGGAACCCTTGAGCAGTGATGGTAGGAATGTAAAATGGTGCAGCCTCTATGGAAAACAACACAGTAGTTCCTCAAAAAATTAAAAATAAAATTACCATGTGATCTAGCAATTCCACTTCAGGAAGTATGCCCAAAAGAACTGAAAGTGGGGTCTTAAAGAAATATTTGTACACCCATGTTCAATGCAACATTACTTAGAATAGTCAGAAGGTGGAAGCAACCTAAGTATTGTGGATAGAAGAACAGATAAACAAAATGTGGTGATACGTACAATGAAATATTATTCAGCCTTAAAAAGGAAAGAAATTCTGGCAAATGCTACATAGATGAACCTTAAGGACATTATGCTAAGTGAAATAGGCCAGTCACAAAAAGACATATATTGTGTCATTCCACTTATATACAGTACCAAGAGAGTCATACCCATGAGAACAGAAAGCAGAATGGTGGTTGCCAGGGACTAGATAGAGGAGGAAAGGAAAAGCTCTTGTTTAGTGAGTATAGAGTTTTAGTTTGGCAAGATGAGAAGAGTTCTGAAGATTGGCTGCACAACAAAGTGAATGTACTTAACAGGACTGAAATGTACACTTAAAAATGGTTAAGAGGGTAAATTTTAGGTTATGTATATTTTACCAACATTAAAAAAAATTTTTTTTTATTAAAAAAAGAAGAACCAGACTCTTGGACTTGGGAATAAGGAATAATGAACCTGCTACTAGAATAAATAGGAGGCACCCTGGAGAAGGCCTTAGCCTCCAATCTGGGGCCCTGCATAGAGCAGCGCTTCTCAAACCATCTGTGGTGCAAGGCCAGGCTTTGTTTTCTAATTTCCAATCCCTTGCAGACAAATACTGTATTTCTAGAAAAATTAAAAGACTGCAAAGTGCAAATCCAAATTTTAATTAGATTCCAAAAATGTATCAAATTGCTCTACAATTTCCTGCATGCTTACTCTCAGTTCCTACACTTCCCTCATGAGCACCGGTTGGTAGAGCGCACTGAACAGCACCTGTGGGAACACCTTCCCTCCCAGCTGGGGAAAGAAAGAAGTAAAGCAGGGCTCTGAAACCAGGCTGTGGAGTAAGAGTCTGTCTTCTTAACATCAACTTTGACACCTGACGAGCCTCCTTTAACTGTAGGAAAGTACTTCTCACCTTGGAAGAAGCCGGC